CCTCATCAGATCACTTATACCCTCATATTCCCTCTGCTTGCCCCCCCCCCCAATCTCAACAATGGTCCCTTTTTATTTTGCTGGTTTCTGCAGTTACTCCAGGATAATGAGTTCATCTCTTAAAGAGCATTTACCCAGAAGAGCTACCTGATTCTCAGAACTGACCTAAGGAAGAACACACTCAGAATTGCTAAAGCTCCAAGGAGGAGGAGAACTGTGAGTGAGAGCGGAGAGGATCAGCTGTCCCCACTATCAAAGTCAGTCAAGCCTTCTGAGAGCCCCGTCTTTCTCACCTTAAACTTGTGTTACTGTAGGACACTCAATGAAACAATGTATGTGAAACATTTAGGATGTCTCCAAGCTCAGGAAATGCAAGTGTAAATTCTATTGTGTCTCATGTTGGCAATACTGAATTCTGAAACCTTGTTTTGGTTTTCAACCAAGGTTTTATTTGCCAGAAAAGGAATGCCTTGCCTTAGTAAGGAAACGAAATCTGCTTCTCAAAGCCTGGTAGTCCAAGTGTAGATTAAGTTTGGAGCAGTTTAATCCACACCAAACGTTAAGGACTGCCCTGCCTTTCAGGGAGTAAGCATCTTCCTAATTTGACTCCCTAGAAGCTATCAACAGTAGCTGTTACATAGTCCTAACCTGTTTTGAGAGCAGGAGAAGCCCCTCCCAGGTGCCTTGAATCCTGTGCTTCCTCCAATTAGACTGACTTAGATGACCCACTCACCCCTGAACCAATCAAGACTCAAATCTGAAGCCAGGGGTGGGATCAGGTTCACTTAAATCACATAGACCAAGAAGAATGAGATCACACATTTTAGAAAGAAGGAATTATTTTTTAGGATGCCTTCTTGACAGAAGAAATGGTAATGTCTTAGTCACTGTTCTATCATTGGCCAAGGCATCTCTTATAAAAGAAAACATTTAATTGGTGGCTGACTTACAGTTTCAGAGGTTTAGTCCATTATCATCATGATGAGGATCAAGGCAGCAAGCAGGCAGACATGGTGCTGGAGAAGTAGCTGAGAGTTCTTCATCCTGATCCATAGGGAGACACACACCACACACACACACACACACACACACACGCACGCGCACACACACACACACACACACACACACACACACACACACACACAGAGAGAGAGAGAGAGAGAGAGAGAGAGAGAGAGAGAGACTGGGCTTTGCATGGACTTTTGAAACCTCAAAGTCCATCCCCAGTGAAACACTTCCTCCAACAAAGCTATACCTTCTAATCATTCTAATCCTTTCAAATAGTGCCACTCCCTGGTGAATAATGCCTATTGGGGGGCATTCCTACTCAGACCACCCCAGGTAAGCAGGAAAACGAGGATACTAAGTAGGCTCCCAAAAAGGTCAGTTGCAGTTGGAATGTGAAAAGTTTCATTTTCTTACAATGGGTGGTATATGATATTTTGTTTGTGTTCTGACAAATAAAGCTTGCCAGGAGATCAGAGGGTGGAGCCAGCCACTAGTTAATCATAGAGGCCAGGCAGTGGTGGCATACACCTTGAATCCCAGCACTTGGGAGGAGGACACAGGAAGATCAGGAGTTCAAGACCACCTTGGGCTACACAAGATTGAACCAGTTTAAAAGAGAAACAGAGCTGGGCAGTGGTGGTGCATGCCTTTAATCCCAGCACTTAGGGAGGAGGAGACAAGAATATAAGGTGGGTGGAGACAGGGTCTCCCCCTAATTTGGTCTGGGGATTTGTAAAGTTAAGAAGTTTCTAGTGGCTGCTGCTCTCCTTCTCTGATCTTTCAGCTTTCACCCTCAATATCTGACTCTGGGTTTTTAAGTGATAAGACTAATTAGGACCATGCTTCAAATAGGTAACAGGTTGTAGGAGTGAATGGTGAATGTTATTTTGCAATCACTCCAAATAATCTCTTGGAAATCTTTTAGTTAACTGGGTGATGCAATTTACAACCCCCTAACCTCTGACAGTGAGTTTCTTAAAATACCCTCAGATGTTGACTTCTTGAAGTATGCTCAGATATTGACTCCCTGTCTCTCTTGACAGTGCAAGGCTTTTGAAAAAAAATTCTCATAAGAATAAATGACTCTTCTATTCTGCTCTCCTTCCCCCTCGATTTGTGTGTCTTTTGATTTTTGTGTTTTAGAAAATACAAGGTACTGTGTAGACATGAAGGGCTGGTGTGTTCTTCACAGCTAGACTAAATCACATGGTGTTCAATCATAACGTTACCAGACCAATTTTTGTTTGTTTGTTTTTTTTGTTTTTTGTTTTTTTTTTTTTTTTTTTTGGTTTTTCCAGACAGGGTTTCTCTGTGTAGCTTTGCGCCTTTCCTGGATCTCGCTCTGTAGACCAGGCTGGCCTCGAACTCACAGAGATCTGCCTGCCTCTGCCTCCCGAGTGCTGGGATTAAAGGCGTGCGCCACCACCGCCCGGCCCAATTTTTAAGCAGATTATTTAGATGCTCCCAAGAGTGACCCTTGTGAGCAATCCCCTAGAGAGGTGATCTTCATATGCCACCTGAGAATCTTTGAACCACAGCTCAGATTTTATTACCTTAGTTTCAACCCCAAAGTACAGTCCCTTGATAGACCATACTGTGCATCTGATTGGGGATTCCCATCTCCTGTAAAGGTTTCCAGACATAATCTAACTCCAAACAAAGGGTTGTCCCCACAGATAATGTAACTTAGGTAGTTGTCTGTGGAGAAGTATAAGAATATCTTGGATCCTGGTATTCAGGGTAAATGTTAAAGTGTGAATACTCAGCATGAAGTGTACATTTCCTTTGTTTAATAGAATAGAAGGAGGCAGGTTGGTATCAGGGTGTCTTATATCACCCCTTTCCATCCCTTGCAGCAGAATTCCCCCAAACTTCAGGCTTTGTCTGGACTCTGAGTATCATTGAAAACCCTATACATACATACATTCTTACACATATACACACCACATGCATCTACACACACACACACACACACACACACACACACACACCTCCCCCTCCTGCCAGACTGAAGTTCTCTCTGCCCCCAGGAGGCCAAGCTCCTACCAGAGTCTCCCTGTGATTTCTCTGCTTTCCCTGGCTTCACTCAAAGGATCTTGCCTCTCTCAGATCCCCACGAACTCCTCTCCGACCCTCTGTCCTGACCCTCCTCATTCACAGAAGACCTTGTTGCTCTTTGACTATGTAATATTGTTTGTTTGTTTGAATCTTATGTAGGGCTCTTTTCCCTTGCAATGCTTTCATCCTTGTGCCCACACTCTAACCCATAGCCCTCTGAACAATTCTTCACCTCTGACCTGCTCCCTTCAGTCCCACAGAATACCTCCTCGTCACTCCAGGCTGCAGTCCCAGGCGCCTTCATCAGGTGAGCCCTGCCTCGGCTTGGTGAGTAGGAGGCCATGCCAGAAGGCTGAAGGAGGAGAAGAGGGAGAAGCCGGGGCATATCTTCTTCTCAATGAAGCCTGGGGAGGCATGCATGCTAACAGCCACGTGGTTCAGGTTTTGCCTGGGTGTTTCCAGATCTCAGACTGATGCCACCTCATCCTGTGTTGACACCTCCAGGCTAGTGGCTTCCAGCTTTTAGTTTGCCTCTGGTTTACTTATAGCTCTCAGGGTAGGACCGGTGCTCCTTATGAAATTCCCTCTGTCCAATATTGAGGGAAATCTCTGTTCCTGTAATTGCACACTGACAGATAGATATACAGTACCCGGGGAAGGCTGGCTCAATCATAAAACCAATGAAAGGATAAAGCACCACCATGTTTACCTATAACAGATGAATTTTGTTATTTCCACTTCTAAGAAAGACCTTTATGGATCCACCAAAAACAGCCTTTCTAACTCACTTTTAGAAAAAGTTCCACTTTTCCTAGCTCAGTGCCCTATTCCCAAACTCCTTGTTCAGTTAACCAGCCCTGCGTGGCATTTGCCTCCCTGACAGATGGTCAAGACACTGAGTACAGAGCGAGATCATCAGATCAGAAATGCTTCAGATCATGGAGCCCAGGCTGCTGGCTGGGCCTGCCGCACAGTGGGGAAGGACTGAGTACCCTTCCACTCTCCAGGTCTGATATGTGACTTTAGCCAGAATGAGGCCAATTTACTGTTACTCCCAGAGCACAGTGCAATTTGCACATGAAGGAAAGATGCACATTTGTGGCCAAATAGACAGATTTGGACATTGGACTGGATGCTAAAATGTCCCCCTGTGCTTGAGGCAGGCTCATAGCCGGATGGCTGCCTTGAAGCTGCCCAAAATATTATTATATTTCCATGGTCTGGACTGAGTAGAAGCCAAGCATTTGAAAGGATCTGGAAATAGCTGGCAGTTTGCATTCCAGCTACTTGAACAGGATTATACAACCCACCTTTCTACAGCCCTCAACCTATACTGCCTCTCCTGGGCTTGGCTGTCAAGGATGCTGACTGAGTAATGAGAAGACACATAGCCCTAAAAAAAGAAAAGATGACTCATACATCTTAATGAAGTCTCACCTGAGAGAAACACTTGTAAGCATTTGTAAGGCTCAGCCCTGAGCTGAGCACAGGGGAAGGGAGTGAATGAGACGTAGGTCCTGCCAGGTGGTGATGGTGCACGCCTTTAATACCCAGCACTCAGGAGGTATAGGCAGGAGGATCTCTGTGAGTTCGAGGCCAGCCTGATCTACAGAGCCAGTTCCAGGACAGCCAAGGCTACACAGAGAAACCCTCTCTCGAAACCTCTCCCTGCCAAAAAAAGAAGCAGGTCCTGTTTTTGAAGGCCCCATTGCCTATGTGTGTGTGTGGGGTGGGGTGAGGGGTTAGACAGACAGGGGCAAAGGAACAAAGGCAGGTTGGTGGATGGAATGGCATCCAGATGTTCCTATGTATCCTATCACAACATTGAAAAACAGGTGTTCTGTGTGAGAATAGCTGGGATAATTCCAGGCAGGCAAGCCCTCGATGAAACTTTCATATTCTTTCTCATCTGTAGGGGGAGTTAGTGCCTGCCTCCCACTTGTTCAAGCACACAGCGAAGTCATGTGTGTAAAGTTCTTCGTACTTAGTGCCAGAACATGGGTGTGGTCACCATGACCCCTTCAGCAGCAGCCGTAATGAAGTTCACTCCACGACCCTGTGGGTTCTGGTCATTGCAAAGAGGAGCTGTACCAGACAGGGAAGACTGTGGCAGATGGCATGACGTCATGCTTGATAGTCTGGATTGGGGACACCTGGGAAGCAACCTCTGAAGACCTTGGGAGTATTAGCACGGGTGGATGACTGTCTCCAGGCTACAAACGGACTCAGTTCCGCAGGGCAGCTGCATTATGAGATGGTAAGGAGGGACCTGTGGGAGCAGAGGCCTCATGCTGTGGTCAGTCAATGCAGAGACAGCATTTCACTAGCTCTTGGGATAATGGGGAGGGCCCAGGTGGGTGGCGGGTGCATCAGGACTGGCATTCTAGGTAGAGAAAAGAAAAGCAGGCAAACATCTGGGGATATGATGAATCATTGTAAGCCCAAGAATGAAGAAATCAACTGTGGGGACATCAGTAGCCAAGACTGGAATAGCCCCAGGGCCCAGGTCTGAAGAACCCTTTGTACGTGGGAAAACTTGGGACTTCACCCCTTGTATGCCGGGTCACATACATTTTCAGCACAAATACTGTGCATTTCCAGTGCACAGTATCACTATCGGATTTGCCTATGGGAAGATCAGTCTGGAAAGCCCCAGTTAACTTGTCTGATGTGCTATGGTAAATTAGAGGCAGGGGCGTCTTGGGCCTAAACACACAAGCCATAGAGGAGATTCACTGAAGAGATTGGCTATTGAGATAGTCTAGAGGTCTAGGCATCTTTCGAGGTGAAACTAAACTGTAAGTCCCTGGATGGCGAGGACTGTTCTGACTTTCGGTGGGTAACTATCAAGTACCAAATACAGGAGTGGGCGTGGACAAAGCGCCTTTGCTGATGGCTGCCAAATGGGGCACAGAGCGTGGTGGGGGTTAGGAAGGTCCACAGTATCTTCAAGAAAGGAGGATAAATTTTGTGCTCTCTGGAACAGGCTCAAGGGGCTAGATCTTGGGTTAAGTTATGGCCTTGGTGGGCTTGCAATGTGTGTGGAGGACCCAAATGAGAACTCTCATGGGCAGCTGGATATGTGTCACTCTGTCTTCAATACATAGAGCAGTGCCCACCTAACTCAATACCATGAGTAGGTACTCCAAAATATGTGTTGGAAAAAGGAGTCCTGGACTTCTTGACCATCTTCTGTGTCCCCAATTATTCTCTTTTATAGTACTTAAGGATGTGAGTGTAGTGCAAATTCTAATCGGTTTTAGTAATAAAAACCCGGAGTCAGATATTGGGGTAAATGCTGAAAGATCAGAGAAGTAAAGGAAACAGCCATTAGAGCCACTAGAGAGACTTCTTAGCTCTAACTGAATCCTCAGACCAAAAAGGGGCCGAGCTCCTGTCTCCTCCTGCCTTAGATTCCTGTCTCCACTTCCCTGGTCCTGGGATTAAAGGCATGAGCCTCCACTGCCTGACTCTTTTTCTTTTTTAGACTAGATCAATCTCTTGTAGCCCAGGGTGGCCTTGAACTCCTGATCTTCCTGCTTCCTCCTTCCAAGTGCTGGGATTAAAGGTATGTGCCGCCACTGCCTGGCCTGTATGGTTAACTAGTGCCTAGTTCCACACTCTGATCTCCAGGCAAGCTTTATTTGTTAGAACACAAACAAAATGTCTTACAACATGTGAGCATCCACATAAAGATTCACCTGTAACCTAAGTCGGCTCTTTGGGGTGAAGACATTGTAGTTCTGTTCCCTTCTGTGTGACTTGGCCTACTCTAGCCCACAGAGAAAATTAGGCAATTTTGGGATGAATGAGGGCCTAGGGACATGGATGTGGGCATGAACAGGATGTAAGTAGGTGTAGCTAGAGTTTTTCTGCCTGGCCCACAGTCAGGACAAATCTCTCTCATCCGCCAGTCCCGCAGTTGCTCAGACCCAACCAAGTAAACACACAGAGACTTATATTAGTTAAACTATTTGGCCTAATGGCTCAGGCTTCTTGCTAGCTGTTCTTATGTCTTAAATTAACCCATTTCTATTAATCTATAAGTTGCCATGTGGCTCATGGCTTACCAGTACCTTACATCTCGCTTTCCATGGCGGCAACTGGTAGTGTCTCTCTGCCTCAGTCTTCCACTTCCCAGAATTCTCTTCTCTCCTTGTCCCACCTATACTTCCTGCCTGACTACTGGCCAATCAGTGTTTTATTTATTAACCAATCAGAGCAATACATTTAACATACAGACCATCCCATAGTAAGTAGGAGCCCAGAGCAGGGAGGTACTCAGCAAAGTGGGGTGGTCATGTTCATCATAGAACTTTCAAGTTCAAAGTTTGCCAAGCTTCTCTAACCCTCCCACCTTTCTCCTCCTCCTCCACATGCCACACCTCCAAACCACGCCTCCAAACCAGACCCTAATCAAATCCTGCTGTTCTTTCATCTGGAAAACTGGAATTTAGTACACATCCTGCCTAGGCGCTTGCAAGCATTATATGGGGTGATTCAGTTCAACAAATGTTTGTATAGGTGATTAAATGCCACAGTGATAAAATGCCTTTAAATAAATCACTGACCTCCACACTCAGTTCCACCTGGCTAATGTCCACACAGATTGTGCCACTGTGACTTGAAGTAGCATCCCCTGCTCCAGAGACAGTGGGAAACACATCTCATTGACAGAAGCACATCTCCCTTCCCAGGGAAGCCCTTCATTTCAATGGCGAAAGACTTTCATCTTGCAACCTGAATAAAGGCCAGCCAATCTGTCTCCTCCAGGCTTTCCATTCAGACTGGGATCTCTCACAGGGGTCTGGCCGCACCCTACCTTCCTCCAAGCTGTTGCACTGACCCTTGGCAACTTGGCTTGAGCTGATGACCGTGCTGGTAACACAACTAGTAAGTGGGGAACGTGGACATCACAGGAAGGTTGCTGTCGGGGTGACAGGTGGCGAGACCACAACTCCTGAAAGCAGACGCCACGCCTCCCATCCTTTTAGCCTTCTTAAGGTCTGTTCAGGAGAATTGCTTGTCAAACTCAGGTCTTTGTCCAAGCTCTTCTCTCTCTAGACTGTCCCATCCTCGGTCATGTTAGGACTAAGAGTCAGGCCTTGTTGGCTCTGTGAAGCCTGTCTCGCCTCTCTGGGCAGAGATATGTGGCCTCCCTCTATGAAAAGAGAGGAAGGAGAAACGCTGAGTTCCTGTCAGCAGTCACCTCCTACGCACGCTTCTTTCTGTGCTGTCTAAAATGTCACAGTTACAGCCACATGGGAATAGAATCAGACTCCATTTCACAGATCAGAAAGCTGAGGCACATACAAGATCACTAGGTCAAAGACAGAGCTGCTAAGCAGTTGAATCGGGATTGGCCAAAAATCAAATCCATAATATTCATACTTCCTCCCTGTTACCCACAGGGCACAGATTGTGTAGTTCTTATTCTGTCTTGTCTGGGCCAAGGATCTCTCCTATTCCATCTTGGTGCCTTTCTTAGCCACTCCCTGGACAGGTCTAGAGACCTTGGTCACAAGGCCAGATCTTTTTAGTCTCAGAAACCATTAACCAAGGAGATGGGATGGTGGGGACATCCCCGTGGCAGGGAGACCTGATGTCCCTGTTCCTGTAGTCTGGTGCACACTAAACTCAGTCTTCTGTCACTAGAGTGTCATTATGTCTTGACTGGTCCCCAGCCTCCATTGTATGTTCCCGGTCCTTCCAGCTGGGTATCTGCTTCTACCTTGATGTTCACATGCCTTCTGTGAGGGGCCTTAACACCTGTCTCCTTGTCTGATGCCCTGGTGTCTTTCCTGGGCACACCAGGCTTTCTCCCTGGATGTTGAAATCCATCTCTAAATGCCAGTCATTCTCTCAGTGGTTGCCAGAATCTCTCCCTTAAATTACAGCAATCCCAGGCCTGTGAGCTTCTGCAGGGTCAGCAGCTAGGCTATGGCTACCATCTGATGTTACCTCAGCAACCAGGTCTGAGTTTGAAACCTGGCTCTGCTTCTTGTGGGCTGTGTGACCTAGAGATGGCTTTGTACTTCAGTTTATTCGTATATATAAGATTAATAACACTGACACTGTGAGACTGTTGAGGAACTCAATACCATGATATGTGAACTAACCTGATGCATTAACATGATACATGTAAAAGCCACTGTGATTCCCAGGAACCCAGATCGTGTCAGTTAGCGTTACAATCTGATCTTCAGTTCATGCCCCATAGAGTTGGCTAACCCCACCCATACCAGGGCAGTTTTCCTTATCTCCCGTCCCAATTCTTCCCTTTGCCTTTTGCTTTTCCTACCAATCCATTTCAAAGTTACTGTGATTCAATAACGAATGTAAGACAACTAACTGTACCAGTCAGAATAAGAGAGGCTGTGCCACAGTAACAAATTATCCCCAAGTTCTTAGAAACTTAAAACAACGAAATGTGCCTTATAGTCCAGGCTGGTGCTTCATTAACAGATTCTGTACCATAGTTCTCTCTGATGCTCAGGGAAGCCGATGTGACGCTCAGGGATGCAGCCCCCCTGATTCTGTGACTCTTCTACCTTAACCAGATGTGTTCACAGGATTGCAGCAAAAAGAAAGGAAGGAGGACAATTCCACAGTCCCATGAGTCATAGTCATTTCTTTTTACCACATACTATTCCTGGTCACGTTCTCTAATCTGCTTGCAAGGACAGTTAGAAATACATTCTTCTCGTGTGCCTAAGACCAAGAGATAAAAGTAAGATATGGTGAGAACAAAGTGTTTTGTCTCCCCTCCTTACCTATTGATAGAGTGGCTCACATTGCCCTGATGTGTGAGGAAAGCTGGCTGTATTTCAGTACCCCATCATCCAGACTCCTCAGCCCTGGGAATTGCTCACTAATCAGTTTTTCTAGCCCTGCCAACCTCAAAGGACATGACTCCCCTTTTATTTAACACTCCATCCCAAACACAATCCAAAGCATTTGCTTTTCCATGATTGCAGAGCTGAAGTTATAATAAAATATCTAACAATAACGGGTTTTATAACATGGTTGCAGGTGATGCATGAAGAACAAATAAAGAATGCTCCTTTTTTTTTTTCAAAATAAATTTTGTAGATCTTTAACTTGGATGCTCTTAAACCCCTACCCTGAAGCTACCATGCGGAGGCCATCTTGTTCCTGCTGTCTAGCAATGCCTGTACATACCTTCTACCTATAAAATATAAGCATGGCATTGGAGGGGGAGTAAGCAGAGGAAAGGGGATATGCACATGAGTGCTG